ATGTTGCTGTGTCTCTCCCCTTAACTGTTGGCTAAAGGAAATGAGTGAAAAGGGGGGAAAAAGCAGAAAGCATTGGTGGGGACTGTCCCCTCCATGCCAAAGTTGGTGGGAACGTGTCCACCCCAGTCCTTCAGAAAGTTACGCCAGTGCTTTTTAGCCCCATATTTATATGTATTTTAGACCTTCTAATGTGTTATTATTACCTTTAATGAAACAAGTATAACCTATGGTGATTTGCAATGCCCACTAATGTGCAATAATACAAAGAAATTAACAGACAGACAGACAGATAGACAGATAGACTGATAGATAGATAGATAGATAGATAGATAGATAGATAGATAGATAGATAGATAGATAGATAGATAGATAAATAGATAGATAGATGCCTTGCTGTTTTTTTGCTCTTTTGTTATATTCAAAGGTAAAACCAAAATAATAACTACTCCGTCTCAAGATGTGGGACAAGTCCCTTCTATATTAGAGACAGCCAGTATGGGTCTGTTTCTGAAAATAGCCACTCACATCGGACACTTTGATGTTTCCTTTTGTCAGATGTAATCAGTGCTAATGAGAGAGGGCAGGCAGAAGAGAGGAACAGACCTACATCAGAAGTACTGAGAACAAAGACTGAAATGGACCAGTGTCACAGCCTCATCCATATTACCTCCACTGGCCCAACCTAATAACCTTCAGATAAGATCTCATGTAACATTAATGTTGAACGTGTTTTCTTTCTTAAAAACAGCTGGTCTCTTCAACTAAGCTTTTGGCTAAAATCCTATGTTAGATTGTAATAGATGCCCCAATGCTCATCAGCGTTATTCTTTATGCTCAAAATGTTCAGAATCATTTGTCTCTATTTTTATTTTTCATTCTTAATAAATATAGTTTTGCAAAAATAATAGCAGCTACCAATATTTTTCTTATTATCTTTTGATCCAAATTCAGCATTTAAACGTCCATGGCAGTGATCTTACTATGCAGGGCACCTCTTTATTTTAGCAGTCTTTTCAAAAGCTGTGACATCTCCTGACCACAACCTATTTAGGAGACCTCAGATTATCTGTCAGCCTTAGATGTAACGTCTGGTGTCTCCAGGATCTCTATTTTCCACTGCTATTGTTTATTTAGAAGCAGGACACCAGTAGAGAGCTGAAAATTTGAATACATCTTCATATTCAGATTTCTACAGATGAACTGACCGATAATTTCACCAACTGTGACAAAAAAGCCAAATCCATCTGGAAAAAAAAAAAAAAAACATGAACTCAGATTTGTCTTCACATGTTTTATCCTCTGAGTTCTGATAACTGACTTTAATAAATTGTTTATTTAATACTTTGTATTTATCTTTATACTAATTTCCTGGATAACCAATGTTAATAAGCTGCAGCTTTTGCTTAAAGATCTTATGAGCAAATCAGATATACTTCATTCCTGCGAATGAAGTATTTATTCCCAAAACATCTCGCTTGATCAGCCAGGCCATCAATAAGCCTAAACACTCCCTTTTCAGAGGCATAGGCCAGTATTGTCTACTGCAACCCAACAAAGACCTGAATGACTCCCCATTACTAAGTGGTGGAGCTGTTATTTTGGTTCAATTTGCATATTTCCAGGCCATAACAAGGCTCTGTTGGGCTACTCTATAAAGCTTGGAACTCAAGGCTAATCCAGACATTTTGAATTGGAAAAGCTTCCTGGAATGGAAGCAAAACATCTTCAAACTTGGAAGACAAAGTCCAGTAGTTTTTTTGTTTGTTTTTTTTTTACTTTTTAGGATGACTGAGTCTTCACCAGCATACTTCCTTCCTGGTTTATTAGAGTCTGTTTAGCCAATGTTGGCATCAAAGTCCCCCAGAATAAAAAAAAAAGAAACTGAATACTTAGATAACTACAAAATATTTAAGAGAGTGAAAAACCAGTTTCTCACTGAGCACATCTGTTAAAGGGCAGAGCAACTGTGTCAAAAAGAAGTCATAACTCTTTCTACTCTGTCTGTACAATTTCTAATCTTTCCTCTTCGTCCCAAATTAAACAACCTACTAATCCCTTACATGCTTTTACCAAATTACTCATCTGATCATTGTAGGAAAAATAAACAAGTTATACAACCCTGAAATAGCCAATGTGATTTTTTATAACTTGCATGTAACTGTATAGACATATTTGATAAATTGAAATGCTATACACACTAAATTAGAACCGAAGTCACTAAATAATGTGAAAAATAATTAATAACACACAGACTGATTGATTGGTTCCAAATAGTATAATCCCAGAGATTGTCTTAAGGGCTTTTGGATGTTTATAAGCCACAAAATCACAAATAACCCTCAAAGCAGAATGGAGAATGAGCAAGAAGGGACTTTGAAATTCTTCCTTTTGAAATGTACCTTAGTTGTTGTTTTTTAAGCTTTTTTTTCTTCATAGCACTATATAACTCCTTCTGTAAGCCTGCTATGTATATATAGTTTTAATTCATTATATTTTAGATTTTGACTTATAATCTTTTTTGAAAATAATGGCAGATAGGAAAAAATATCTGATTTTTCTCTCTGTGCCACAGCATATATGAGTGAAAGTAAAAGACTGTTGGGATCTGGAGCTGTACCACCTTCCTCCAGCAGAGTGCGCTGTGGGTCTCCTGGAGCTGGAGTCTTCCAGCACACCTGAGACACATCTACTCATCAGGAGACCTCCCCTTTATAACCAGCTGCCAGACCTTGCTTCGACGCCGCAGTGTTGACCTTAGTTTGGTTAGCAACCTGAGCCTCTGAAACCTAAAGAATCTTAGCTGTCTCAAGTGAGAGATCTGATTCTAACTTTCCTCTGTTTTTGCCTCACAGGAAACCTGTCTCTAGCCTGAAGCTCTGGGTGAGCTTAACCTGCCAATCTGCCCTGGTGAGCAAAACCTGTAGATTCCTATGTGAATTCCCCTGCTGCTCTTTGTAAAGAGCTGGAAACTCTGATCAAGGTCTGCCATTCAAAGTCAGAAGCTAGACGCTGCAGCTGCTTGTGTACTCTGCTGAATCAACAGTCTCTGGACCCAACGGTTCCCTTTCTCTCAAAGAGAAACCCGGACCCAATCAAGGTAGAATCTGAATTATCTAAGGACTCATAACTCATCTGCCTGCTCCGCTAATCAAACTATCATCTTTGCAGACTCCTGATCCTGTACATTATCTTGTGTCTATGAACATTCAATAAACTCTGTTAAACTTTTACCCAGCCTCCGTTGTGTTCTGCATGTGGGCTAAGAACCTTAAACCCATCATGACAAAGACAGACAATTTTTTTTCCCCAATTACAAACAGTTTAGTCTGAGCTCCAAAGTTACTGGCACCCACCTTATAGCATATGTGTGAGGATTTACCAACTCATTACTAAACAGTTGTCATAGATTTAAAAAAAAAAATCTATTTGTGTGTTGATTAAATATAATTTGCCTTAATTCCATATTTAACATTTTACATACAATCCTATTATAATTACAAACATCTATACAAACATATACATACTCTGAAAGATCAATACAAAGCAGAAACTGCATAATGTGCATAGATTTTCATCATCCATGTGTCAACTGGATTCATAGAAGCATTTTCTGCTGTAATTACCACTGCAGGTCAGTTGGGATATGTCTTGAACACTTATTGACCATCTAGACTAAAATTTTTACCATTTCTTTTGCAAAGAAAAGAAAAGTGCAAGCTCTGTCAGACTGGATAATGTGTATTTTTGCACCATGTTCACTATGACTATTCCTTGTTATTTTTATAAGAATCTGGACTGAAATTAAATTGTATTAAACAGATCAAATTCTAGAAGCATAATTGAGGATGTATCGATCTATTTTAACAGTAATGCAACAAAAAATAGCTTTTGTAATATAAAATCAATGTGAATCAATTGGTTTTTTGAAAAGTTGGTTTGTGTTTTTTTTTTTTTTTTGTTTGGGAATAAGATGGAATTATTTCAAAAGGCCTCTCCAAGGTCAGCATTTATGCAAGAACCATTTGGATAAACAAGGTTAAACTGTAGCTTTAACAAACAAGAAAGCGTGTGTTTATTTTATTACATTTTGTATTGCCTGAAGTTTAATTTGTGGGCTATAAAGAGTTTGCACCCCTTTTTGGGAGGCCTGTAGTTCTGAGCTGGATTCGGTGATGGATGCATGAGGGGTAAACAGACAGGTCTGAGTTTGGTATAATACGGCTACTGAAGAGGATTAGGGCCACTGAAAAAAATAAAATAAAAAGTTAACTGATTTTTAAACATGATTTCAGTTCAATATAGGAAAAAAGGCAGAATTCTGACTTTAATCTCAGAATTCTGACTTTAATCTCAGAATTTTGGATCTTAATGTAGATGGGTACCATGAAGGAAGAGATGTGGTAGCACTCAGCTTAAAAAAA